CGTTGATACTTGCCAAATTAGGTGAGGCACGATGTGGTCCCGCCTGTTATCTCACCTGCACACCCAAGCCCACACATTTGTGTCCTTCATAATGACAGTGCAATGGGCATTTCCACGGTGCGTGTTTCATGGAAGAAGCTTAACAATTGCACCCTGTCCAACATTCCTGCTGATGCCCTTTCAAATGTCCAGCGCCGGATGGCAGCGATGATGTCTGCTCCTGCTGGCACTGGCAACTGACTGTATCTACATCTCAGTATGCGATAGCTAGCCCCATTCACATGATCGTCGTGATGTCCAAAGAAGAAGTCTTGACTGACATTCAATATGATCAAGCTCGTCCCTTCATAGCTGAAGTTGTCAGACCTTTCGCATCTCTCCCAGAGGTCACGGCGCCCCGTCCTGGTGTTGGCCACCCTCCAAATTCAAGAATAAGGCTCTCGCCATCACCAACAAGTTTAGGGAGGTCTTTGGCTTGCCTCTCATTCACTCTGACCCTAGTCTCAACAATGTCCACAATGAGAGCGATGGAATTCTCATAACTCTGCCCTTCATAGGTACACCTATAGAGTGGGAGCAAAAGCTCGTACCAGTTTGCCCTGACAACTTCTGCAATAAGAACGACGGAACAACTGTACATGAGCATGAGTGCTCACCATTCTACTCATACGAGCTGGAAGGGAAGGACAAGGGAATGGGAACACCACCACCGGGTGCAGGAAATGTGGCATCGCAGCGTCATGACAGAATAGCAGATGACATGGAGATAGGAGTAGTGCTGGAGATCATGGTTACCGGTGACGACGGCGAAGTGGAGAAGGCGAAGACGAAAAGCCTGGAACCCAGATCTGAAATTGGACATAGCAACATATACGACATGGTGCTCACGGGCGGTGGCGTGAAGGGGGACATGAAGGTGCTCGGCGTGATCATGGTGGTGATCCACCATGCCGTCGGCCTCAACGCGCAGGACTCAGATGGAAAGAGCGACCCATACATCGTGCTTTCATACACCAAGTTCAGCAAGTCGCTCCACAACACGCGCATCATCCAGGGCAACCTGAACCCTGTCTGAGAGAAGACGGCAGTGCTGCTCCTCATGGAGGACGAGGTCAAGGGCGAGGAGAACGTGAGCATGATGCTCTGGGACTTGGATAAGCACTCGGTGGACGACCTGGTTGGGTGCGTGACGGTCCCGGTCATTGAGCTAATGAAGGACATGAGTGCTACTATCTGGGTGATGGGCACATGCACATCTCCAAAAGCCTAAATTACTAATTAGTACTAATCATGCTAATTAGTATGGGTAGTAGTCAATTAGTAGTCCTAGCACTAATATACTTGGTCCCACATCTAATTTCTTACTAATTGCTCACTAGTCACCTCTAACAGCTCTCTAATCCACTAATCAACTATTGATCTAATTAACTAGCCTACTATACTGTTATATAATGCAATAAATAGTAAACAAACATAAAAATAAAACATTTAAAGAACTAATTTCACATTCTAAACACTCACCAACACACAATTCATTCAATGAACCCATTTATTGCAAATGGCCTTGGTGGAAATTGAACCCTCAACCTCACTAAGGAGCCAAGGACACTTTAACCACTGAGCCATCTAACCAACATTAATGCTGTGTTTGAATATCCTCATATGCATTTTCAAAGAACTTACAACAATACTCAAAGTTGCAGTTATACTTTAATGTCTAAATGCACTGTTGGCTTTTGTTATACTATAATGCTCTACTAGATTCAGTTATAATCTGCTAGTATAGCTAAAGCCAATCTGTATTCTACCTGTGGCTTACCATATCTCCAAGAAGGGTTCAAGTCTTTTGGCAGGTTGTAGTAGGTAAAGGTAGCATCTTAGAGTTAAAGGCTTAACTTAAAGCTTAGTATATTTGATAAATCTTGCAAAATAGAATAGAATATTCAAACAAGCTCACAACCACTTGAACTGGTGAATAAACAATGTATGTGGCAATGGGTGAAACAGTATAAAAAGCATGTACTTACAATGTGACTTAGCATCCTCAGAAGTGATTACAAGTTGCCCTCTTATGGTGAACTTAGATAGTTCTGTTGAATAGTGTAAAAAGATAATTTGCCAACAAGTGGAAGGTTTAAGAGCAGAGTCTCACAGTGCACAAAGAACTTCAGGTTATGATAACTACAATCCAAGAATATAATATACAGCCTTAAGCAACTTTAATCAGTTCACATTGATACAGTTCTACAGAGAAATGGCTGAGATACAGACTTTACATTCTGGAAACTAGCCTCTAGTAAGGATTTCTTAATAAAGGGCCATATACCAGTTTTAGGTAAGGTAGGCCTCGTGCAAAACCGACCACTCCACGTGGCAAATAATGTCACGCTTTAGGGCGTCTGAAAGCGGTTTGGCAGAGAAAGTGTGAAGAAAGCAGAAAGACAGGCAAACTCCTCTCTGGAGAAAAATCATAGAAAAAAAAACTCCCCATTTTTTGTAGCTATGAGGACTGCTGAGAGAAAATGGGGAACACTTTTGCAAAAATGTGATTCTGGAGAGAGGAGTTTCGAAAGTGTTGTGTTTACTGGTCAGTTAAGTAAGGCTGATTACATCACATTCCTCGTACTTTTTGCGCTTTCGTGACGACCCACAGTGAGATGTCTGGCGTCAGTCACACTCTGACACTTAAAGTCACCAGCGGGTCACGGGCACGTGGAGTAGTCGGTTTTGCATGAGGCCTACCTTAATGGTTCTTAGGTTCAAAGGTGTTTGCAATACTCATTTACCTTTATTGTAGTTTTATAGTTATACCAAATAGTTCTATGATTATACACTGATTTGGATGAGTGAATGAAAGCTCTGTAACCTGTGATATTTTTCATGTCTGTGATAATATGTGCTAACCCTCTGCTACTAAGCTCACACTAAAGAATGGTGAAACTGTCAATAGAGAGCCTACTAGTATTTCAGACAGGCTTGGCCATGGATACTGCATGAACACTGTGAAAAAGTTAACAGTGTGTGTTGAATGCAAACTAATGTGGCCATCTGAAATTTGCCTATTTTTATATATTTAAATAGCTTTTCGGCAATCTATTATGCTTAGCAGTGCTACAAAATGCTGCAATTGTGAAAGAGCATAGCTTTCCATAATGGCAAACCTCAAGTGTCACAACCAAATGAACTTCTTTGTGACCTGTAATAAAGGTGAAATATTAAACTTGTAACTGCTGGCTATTGCCAGGCCAATTCTTCCAACAAACATTTAAAGGACTTATATCAAAACATAGTATGCTGCAGTTACTGTAAAAGAACATATGGTAGCAATGTTATGCATCACACACCACTGGACATGTTTTTTATCTAGCTCTATATCACACATCACAGTTTGTTGGCTGCTAGTTTCTGTGCAAGTTGCACCTGTAGGGCCATCACCTGACAGCAACAGTTTTTTTATTAGGCCTTAGGTCACAAGTCACATGGGAGATGTTTTAACGTCACATGCTCTCTGCAAAAGACCCACTGTATACTTGTTAACTAATTAAAAAGGGAAATCAAACACAAAATGAATGTTCTGTAGCTTGTGATGTTTGTTATAGTTATGAGTACTTATATAACATTATTAAACACTGAAGAAGTTTAACAAGGTATGCACAAAAAAAACATCAATGCTATAGTAACAGAATAGTGGTCTTTCAGTGAGTTAGATAACTAGCATTCAAAAAGAAATTACAAAGCTTATAATTAGTTACACAGTGTCTATATAGTATTCAAATAGTCAGTTAGTAGGTGACTAGTATAAAAATAGTCAGTCAGTTAATAGTTAGTATACAAACAGACAATTAGTTAATGATTAGTATACAAACAGTCAGTTAGTCAATGATTAGTATACAAACAGTCAGTTAGTTAATGATTAGTATATATGTAGCTAGATGGTAAGCTATTAGTGTAGAAAAAGGCAGCTAGCTTTCAATTAGTAACTAAAAAACAAAAATTAGTGAGAAAGCTTGCAAAAAGACAAGGAAAGGTACTAATTAACAAATCTGGTTTTTCCAGATGCGGGTGCTGATTATGTGAATGAACAAGACATGTGTTGGCAAGCAGTACAGCAGCATGCCGTACTTTGAGGCGGGCACAGAGTGCTTCATTCGCGACTGGTGCAAGACAGTGGTGCACGTGCAAGTGCACGACATGTGCGTGTGTGAGAAGGATCCCATACTTGGCATTGTGACTGTGAAGCTCTAGAAACCGTTCAAGAACTCGTCCCAGTTCACGTGGCCATTCTCGTTGCAGGAAGGTGTTGGTGAGTGGTCTTTGTCCAGGAACGATTCCATTTGTCAGCTGATTGTCGAACAGGCTACAGCTGTACCAATCTCTCATTCATGTTCCGCCAGGTGGACACGCCACTTCCGCAGATGCTGCTGAGGGGGAGACAGGCACGCTCAAGATTGTTGGCAGGATCTGCATTGAGCCGGAGCCGAGCCTCAGTGGCGGCTTCGACACAAAGAAGCTTGAGATCTGCGTGGTAGACAATTCGTACAAGGTGTTGTCATTGGCCACATGCATCGAGAACAGGACCGTGCTCTGGAACCCGCCCGTGGATAAGATGTGGCTGCTAGTGTATAACCGGTATTTGAGTGCAGTCGTGTTTGAGATCAGCTCAGGTGGCATTGGGCCCATCACTTCTGCATCTGACTTCTTGGCAGTGTGCTGGTTCAAGAACGTCCCTGGCAACAACAAGACACAGATTTGGATTCCAATCATCAAGAGTCCGCATCTGAAGCAGCTCAGGCAGAATTACAGTGTGTTCCTTGTTTGGTGTTAGGTAAGATGGTGCTCACGAGCATCTCAGTCAATGATCAGATGAA